GTCTAATCAAACTGAATACAGATAATCTCACCCTCAGAGATGCTTCAGTAAGTTTTTTCCTCAGACTGGACACCTTCCAGGTCTGGGCACAATTCTTTCTCCTGGTACAGCTCTTATTCCAGCTCAGGTGGTAGCTAGGGGATTCCTCATGATGGCTCCTCCCCTTTGTTCTGTTCCACACCCTTATATATCTTTTGCAAAAGGCGGGAATCCTTTGTCCCTCTCTGGGTTCCCACCCCCTCCTTCTCAATGGAAAAACACCATGTTAAAGATGGATTCCAGTTCAGGTGACATGATCACATGTCATTGTAAAACTTCATTGCCCACTTGCGAGTACACACATATACAGGAAGACTCACAGGTAAAACACAGCCATCTGCAGACAATGGTCCTGGTTAATGGGAGTCATCAAGATTCCAAACCACCATCACTGACACCCACCCCTTGCTGCCCCCGGCCCCGCCCCCACTCCACCCCTTCCATGAGGCCCCACCCCTGCCCCACCTCTTCCCTGCCCCCATTCCAACCCCTTCCCCGAAGTCCTCATCCCAACTCTGCCCCCTCTCTGCCCCCAGGCGGTGCAGGAGGGGTGCAGGGTGTGATGGGGGCTCAGGGCAGGGAGTTGAGGTGCAGGAGCTGTGTAGGGTACGGCGGGGGCTCAGGGCAGGGAATTGGGGTGCGGGAGGGTGTGGGATGTGGCAGGGGCTCCAGACAGGGGGTTAGGGTGCAGGAGGGGTGCGGGGTGTGATGGGGGCTCAGGGCAGGGAGTTGAGGTGCAGGAGGTGTGCAGCAGGGGGCTCAGGGCAGGGAATTGGGCTGTGGGGTGCAGGAGGGGTGTGGGGTGCGGCAGGGGGTCAGGGTGCGGCAGGGGGCTCAGGGCAGGGAGTTGGGGTGCAGGAGAGGTGAGAGGTGCAGCAGGGGGTCGGGGTGCAGGGTGTGGCAGGGGGCTCAGGACAGGGAGTTGGGGTGTGGGAGGGGGTGGGATGTGGCAAGGGGCTCCAGACAGGGGGTTGGGGTGCAGGGTATGGGCTCCGGCCTGGCGCCGCTTACCTAGAGCGACTCGAGGGTGGCAGCACCTCACTGAAGAGACAGGCTCAGGACTAGGGCAGAAGGGCAGGGGAAGGGCAGTCTGCCCTGGCCCTAGTGAGGAGGGACACTAGGACCTGCTGGAAGCCGGCAGCCTGCAGAGCAGAGCGGATTCAAGTGCGCTGCAGGCTCCTGAGTCACCATGTGCTGCAGGCTCCAGGCTCCGGGGCAGTGAGGAGGCAGCAAGTGGGGGCTGGGAGACACTCTGGGGGAGGGGGGAGCGGCGGGGGGGGGGCAGGTGCCCCAAACATTGGGGAGCAGCGCATGGGGAGCTTAACGGGCACAGAAAATAACTCGGGGGGCGGGGGTGAGGGGAGTTTGGCGGCGACAGGAAGTAACGGGGGGGGGCGTGTGGGGAGCTCCGCGGGTCGCGTGTTTGAGAGCCCTGGTCTAGACTGTTCTCAGTGATAGCAGATGACAGAACAAGGAGCAATGGTCTCAAGTTGCAGTGGGGGCGGTCTAGGTTGGATATTAGGAAAAACTTTTTCACTAGGAGGGTGGTGAAGCACTGGAATGGGTTCCCTAGGGAGGTGGTGGAAACTCCTTCCTTAGAGGTTTTTAAGGTCAGGCTTGACAAAGCCCTGGCTGGGATGATTTAGTTGGGGTTCGTCCTGCTTTGAGCAGGGGGTGGGACTGGATGACCTCCTGAGGTCTCTTCCAACCCTGATATTCTATGATTCTATGAAGGAATATCAGGACTCAGAGGAGCCAACCTCAAACCACTCACCACACGAAGAGCCAGCTTCCTCCAGTACACAACCGACTTCCTCCACAAACTCCGCAACATTAACAGCCTCCCTCAGAACACCAGCCTTGCCGCAATGGATGTCACTTCCCTATAAACCAACATCCCTTGCAATGTGACAGCATAGCTCCTGGCCTCAAATATCTACATGACAATGGACAGTCTCAGAGATCCTCCCCAAACACATCGTCAGATTCATCCATTTCATCCTCCCCCAGAACAATTTTACATTCCACAACAAACACTGTACAAACCATGGGAACAGCCATGGTGTGAGGATGTCTCCCCAATATGCCAATCTCTTCCTGGGCCACCTTGAAGATGCATTTCTGGACAAATGCATCACAGAACCAATGATATACCTGAGACACATCAATGATATTTTCATCCTCTGGTCAGACAACTTAAACTCCCTGATGGATTTCCACCACAACTTCAGCAACCACCACCCCTCCATTAAACTCTCTCTGGAACAGCTCCACACCAGCATCGTCCTGGACATCACGATCAGCTTCAACAATGGAACCCTACAGACAACTGTATCCCACGGATCACTGCACCTACCTTCATAGATCCAGTAATCACCCGCAACACATCAAGATATGTGCTATCTACAGCAGACACTCAGATACCACAGAATATGAGCCGAGGAGAAAGTCCGGGATATGCACCTTAATACACTCAAAACCTCCTTCACCAAAGAAGGACTCTCCACCAGAGAAGTAGATCACATCATGGAATGGACCCAAATACCCCAAGAGAACCTGCTTCAACACAGCAATAAAACCTCCTCCAACTGCATGCCCCTAGCTGTCACCTATGACCAGGGCCATCCTTAGGCATACGAAGCATACGCAGCTGCGTAGGGCACCATGAAATTTGGGGAATCAAATTGCCCCAAATTTCATGGTGCCCTAGGCTGCTGCGTGCTGCATACGCGGCAGCACCAGCGGCGGCACCAGCCCCGGCGACCAGCCCTATCCCCTGGCCGGCCCCCCCCGTGGGCTGCGCCCACTACAAGGGGCAGGGCCATCCCTAGGGTGGGTGCGGGGCCCCGGACATCTCCCTCCGCCCCACCTCTTACCCTTCCCCCCTCCTCCGCCCCCGGCCTGCCCCCATTCCACCTCTTCCCCCAGCGACCCCACACTCACCGGCGGCGGCGGGAAGTGGAGCAACCTGGCCCCAGCCCGCTCTGCTCCGCCAGCTCTGCTCCGCTTCCCGCCGTCGGTGAGTGCAGGTAGGTTGGGGAAAGGACGCCCCCCGCACTCACCGGCGACGGGAAGCAGAGCAACGAGGCCCCAGCCATGTCGCTCGGGGGGGTTGGGGAAAGGTCCCCCCCGCACTCACTGGCGGAGCAACCCAGTGTGTGTGTGAGGGGATCCCTTCCTCCAAGCTCCCTTCCCCGAACGACATGGCTGGGGCTGGGGCAAGGGAAGCAGAGCGAGCTGCTCCCGGCTCCCCGCTAACCTCCCGGGCCACTCTGGGCCTGTGGGGCCCCCAAAAGTGCCCCCCCACAGCTCCTGCCTCGCAGACCCTGGGTGGGGGGCTGGGGCCCCACACAGCCCCCCCGCGAGGGGGCTGCATAAGGCACCCAAATGGCTAGGGACAGCCCTGACTATGACCCCACAATGGAAACCATGTGAGATATCATCAAATAACGACAACTCATACTCGATGGGGAACCCATCCTGACAGAAATCTTTCCGGAACCCCTTCTTCTAGCCTTCAAACCAACTTCTCCAGGCTCATCATCAGAAGCAAGTTCCCCACAGACCAGGACACACCAACTTAAAGCGGCACCAGACCCTGCCAGAACAACAGATGCAAAACCTGCAGACATCTCCACTACTTCAATGATCAACACCCCACAGAACACACCTTTCAAGATCCATATGATAGGCATGTGTAGGATCTAACGTGTGGTGTACCTCACCCAGTGCACTAAATGCCCCAATTACAACTATGTGGGTGAAACCAGACAACCACTGCACTCTGGAAAGAACTTACACAGGAAAACGATAAAAGGCAGAAACATCTTCTCACCTGTGGGATCACTCTATATCTGATCTATCAGTCCTCGCCCTCAAAGGTAACCTGC